GTATTGCGCAACTTAGGGGCTTTGATGCTACTCCATTCCTTCCTGAACCTTTTCGATCAGCCTTTCTTCATCCGGAGCAGTTGGTCACTCAGATACCTGCCTCAGTGCCCGGAACTTGTAGCGCCACGAATCAGTGTGAGTTGTGGCGTCTGTGTTGGCGTTGGGATGCTGTGGGTAGGTTGCTGCTAGCTCTAGAGGATGAAGTAGTGCCTGGTTCAGTCAGCAACCTGTTCTGTTTACAGAAACCCGATGGTGAACTTCGTCAAATCATTGACAGATGCCCCCGCAACTCCATGGAAACCCCACCGCCAGTGGATGCTCCTAAGATGGGACATGCCAGTGTTTTCTTGGGTCTGCAGGTTCCGAGGGGTGGCTGCGTTAGAGGGTCCGTGGATGATCTGCGTAACTTCTATCATGAGTTCACGGTTTCATCGGAGTGGGCTCTTTCTACCCCCGTGGGTCCCCTTTGGTTCGAGCGGGATTTTCAGGGTTCAGCTGCCCTTCAGGAACTTCGAAAGCGGGCCAGATGTAAAGATCACTGCCAACACCAGGGTTCACTCGTGCTTTGCAGGATTGTCGATGGGGGATCATTGGGCCCCAGCTATAGCTCAAGTTGCTCACGAACAATTGTTGAAGAGTTGTGGTGCCGTAGTGGATGAGGAACACTTGGTTCTAGGATCCCCCATATACCTAGGTCCCCGCAAGGGCATTATTCTGGTGTTTGCATAGATGATAAGCTTTCGCTGCAAGTGTTCCCGACCTAACTCCAAGGTCAGGGTGGGGAATCGGAACCACCCGGCCGGGACTTGGATGCTTGCGCTCAGCCTAAGAAACGCTTACGGAGAGCTGTTAACTTTAAGGCTTGGGGGGCTCACTTTGATGGCAATGCCTGCTTTGTGGAGATGGACCGCTCGAAGTTGGCCATGTTGTCATTTCTTAAAGCATTGCTGGCACGGGATTATGGTAGCTATGTTGGGTTCCCTTGCCACCACCAATCTGAAAGCTGAAGTTTCTGCTACTGTGTATGCGACTGATGCTTCACCTGATGGAGCGGGAATTGTCTGTGCGGAGGTGGGTCAGCCTGTGGCCTCAGAACTGTTTCGCCGTGCTGATACTAGGGGGTTCCACACTAGACTATTGTCCCCTCCAGGTGCAGCTCTTCTGGCACTTTAGAGGTAGGGTCGATTTCTTCCAGTAAACTGACCCACGTTCCACTTTTGCTACCGCCTCCCAGTGAAGCTTGTCAACCTGCCGCGCAGCATGTTCCCGAGGAGCTGCAAGGACTCTGGGCTCGGTTCTTGGGTGCCGGTTTAGCTTCCAGGGCTTTTACCTATGGGGCTTTCCAACTAGACTTCTTGGAAGTCTATGCTGGCGCCGCGAGACTTTCGCAAGCTTTCTTGACAGAGGGCTTTAGGGTAGGACCCCCTATTGAGTTGGTTTTAGGCTGGGATCTAGATGAAGAGCTCTTTGGGTTTATTCTAAAGTTGGCCTCCGCCAAAAAGATAGGTTTGCTGTGACTGTGGCTCGGACCGCCCTGTAGGACATTTTCACTCGCCCGATGTCCCAAAAGTCGCTCACTCACCGCCCCCTGGGGTTTCAATGTGCTAGATTGGGATACCGCTGAAGGTAATCTCCACTTACATCAAGCATTGGCTTTGTTCTTTGCCCAAAAGGAGGTTAAGTCTGAGGCGATCATTGAAACCCCATGGAGTGCATATTCCAGAAAACTGCCGTGGTGGAGGCGTGCAGCAGTAGGAGGGTGTGAAATTAGGGTGGACCAATGCCGCTTCGGGGCCCCTTACCTCAAGCCTACGGCCCGTTTATGCACAACTTCTAGTGGAGCATCATTGGTCGTAGGTGTCAGTGTTCACAACCTTATGAGCGTTTGGAGGGTTCAAAAACTACTGCTGCAGCCGCTTACCCGGAGCCGTTTTGCGCGGAGCTGGCGCAAGTGGCACTCAAGGTGGCAAAAGGCTTCCAGGTGCCAGCGTCGGAAGAGCATGCGTCTCTGTCAGTTGTTGATGGGGAGGGGGGAGAGCTTCGAGATCACAGAGGGTCCCAGTGGTTTGTCTCCCACTTGTGGTCTACTCATCTAGCAGAGGCACTGCCTTGGCGAACTCGCAGAGCTTACAGGTTCAAGCACCCCAATCACATCAACATTCTAAAGGGCCATGCTCACAAAACTTTGCTTCAGTTAGCACCCCTTGCGTCGAGACTTGTCGTTTTTCAAGACTCCCTTGTAACCCTAGGTTCCAATGCCAAGGGGAGAAGTTCTAGCTTGGCCCTGAGTCGGATAATGCGTAAATCTTTGGCCCTGCAAATTGCTAAAGATGTGTACACAGTAGGTTTCCACTGTCCGACTTGGGCCATTCGCGCGGACGACCCGTCCCGACAAAAGAGGCTGCGTGCGACCCGTCTTCCTCTGCCAAGCTGGCTGCTTGCCCTGAAACGGGGTGAGGTAGCTTTAGCTCAGGGTGCGTTGGACAAGTGCTCAGGCACGCCTCGTTCATGGGGGCGACGGATGCTCTTTTCCCAGATTGCTTTACTGGCTGCTAGTGGTGAGTATCGTTCCTTTAGTGAGTGGTCCAAGACCCAGTCCTCAACCACGAAACCGTTTGGACTTGGACAAGGGACGAGTCACAGCTCCCACCGCTGCGTTGAGGGAAGTGCTCTGGCAGAACCATCAGCACGTCCGCTGCCGGAGTTGGCGCGATGGGATCCAATCGAGGTGGCGACACTGTTGGAGGAGGTCCAGAGATTCCCATACTTGAAGAACTATCTGGCAGGTCCCTGGAGACTTCTAACAACCTGGGAGGGCCTTTGGCCTGGAAAAGTCCATCCTCCCATGCCGGCACCTCTGCTGAAAGCGCTTGTGACAAGGAACTGGCTACGCTTTGCAATGGTCCTCCTGGATCCTCCTGATCGGCTTCTACGGGCTATTGAGGCCTTGCGAGCTCATTGCCTTGAAAGTGCGCGATTGTTTGTTGGATACAGAGACAGACTTTCTGCGACTGAAGCTGGTCAAGAGTCGGACCAGAGGTGCAAAAATGCAAAGCGTCCGTCTCGATGTGCCCTACGTAGTGCTTTTTCTAAGGAAGTGTTTTGCAGTCATGCAACCAGACGAGCCCATATGGCCTTTCTCCTCGGCGACTCTTCGGAGGCGCCTTCAGCAAGTGTTGCTGGAAGTAACTGGACACAGTAATCTGTGCCTCCCTTCTTCCCTTAGGCCGGGACGGGCCACTTTCTGGTTCCGCACTTGCAATGAAGACTTGCCGCGACTGCAATGGCGGGGGCGCTGGCTCCACTTCAAAACTTTGGCTCATTATATTCAAGAAGTTGGTTGCATCAATGTGATGGAGCCAGTAGCCCCAGCCTTCAAGCTGAAAGTTCAACGCTTGGCCGCCTTAACCGAATCGGCGCGCAAGGAGTTTGTGGTAGCGATTGACCTCAATGGTCAGGTCCAACGGCTGTTACGTCTGTTGCAACAGCAGCAAGAAGTTCACTGTCGTAATCCTACTCTGTAGGCCCACCCTCCCTCCCGAATCAAGTACTGGGTAACAGGGGCCACATGTGTCCCGCTAGCGCTGTGTACGATTGTGAATTCCTTGCAGAAGCTGTGCAAAAGAGTGATTGCAGCAGCATGACTGTAGTGCGCAAGCATGCAAACGTTTGCGTAACTGACATCGGCTCGAGTCGTAGGCCGGGATGAACCGATCCCTCGNNAAAATGAAATCAGAACTCCAACCATTGGAGTCATGGGGCGTCCATTGGACGAATGGGGCGATGATAAACTTAGATCAGAATTCCTCACCCTTGGACTAATGGGCCGAGCCTTGGACTAATGGGGTGATGATAAATTTATATCAGAACTCCTCACAGCCTTGGACTAATGGGTCGAACCTTGGACGAATGGGGCGATGAATAATGAATAATGAAAAAATGTCTCCGAGAAGCCTACTTCAGAAAACGCGTTTTTCTCAAGAAACGTTCAAAATAGGCCCGAACGCACCATAAAATGCAGAAACAATCCAGACCAAAAATTCAGGGCGAGTGGATCAAGCAGAAATCTGGGGCGTTCCCTGGACTAATGCGGCGATGACAAAGTTAAATCAGAACTCCTCACACTCTTGGACTAATGGGGCGTACCTTGGACTCATGGGGCGATGATAAAATTAAATCAGAACTCCTCACACCTTTGGACTAATGGGGCGTACCCTGGACTAATGGGGCGATGATAAAATTAAATCAGAACTCCTCACACCCTTGGACTAATGGGGCGTACCTTGGACTAATGGGGCGATGATAAAATTAGTTCAGAACTCC